CTCTTAAATGTTCACGAAAATAAATCAGATCCTGAAACTACATCGAGAAATATTCTGACTCCAAAGCGCCATTTATCTCAAATCAAGGTATTATAAGATCAATTTTTATCTGTGTAGAATTCTTTAATATTAATGTGTGATTAAAATATGTAATATTAATGTAAATTCAATTTAATAATTGTAAAGAATTGATTTATTAAGAGCAATTTAAATTAATTTATAGATATATTCCATAATTTATTTAGGATTATAATTTTAATAATATTACAGGATGCAGTTTCTGCTGAAACTCCATTAATAAATAAGAGACTCAGTCTGGTAATAAATCAGACACCACAATCACCATTTCATGTATCCACTCCAGAAACTCCATATGGACAGGTTTTTAAGCCCAATCCTTCACCAGATACACGAAAAGGATGGATCAAATGGGTAGACAATCTTCCAGACTTACAAGTGACAGAACCACCATTGAAACGACGTACACCTAGCACTGTAAGTACTGTTTTCTTATACATACATAATTAAATAATTTTTCACATGTTCAATTAATATATTATATATAATTAAACATTTATGTACAGCCGCTTTCAGATTTAAAGAAACAGCTATGGGAGAAATTAAAGAACGCAGGTCAATCTGAAAAGGTAAGACATAAACATGTTGAGAAATCGCAATCTATATGGCGAATATTTTGTGTAAATAGAACAAATTTGTAGAATAAATCTGATATTGTGATTAATTCTCCATGACATTTTATGATACTACTTATCTTCTATTGATTTTATATAACAAATATATAAGCTATTATAAAATCATATCATATTATATAATCATATTGATATGGGGTGTGTGTGTGTGTGTGTGTGTGTGTGTGTGTGTGTGTGTGTGTGTGTGTGTGTGTGTGTGTGTGTGTGTAGGGGGGGGGGTGAATACACACATGAATACATACAATATGTATTTATATATGTATTCAAAATTGTTTTATTTAATTGTCAGGAACATAAAACAGATGAAACAACAATAAGACATGAAGATAACAATTCTTTTACGGAAAGAACCGAAAAAAAGGAAGCTGACAATCAATCTAATAAAACCACTCCATCAACTCCTATCAATCGAAAGCTTAATTTCAACGAAAAAGATACTCCAATATCAAACAACGAGATAAATATGTATGTCTCTTTTATATATAAATAGAATATAATGAAATAAAATAAAAAATAGAATAGATATAATGTAATAAGATAGAATTTGAAATGATAAAACATCATGTTAGAAAGATTCCTAAAAAATATTATTTTTTTATATATAACATATATATCTACTATTTATCTTATAGATATATCTGTCTAGATATATCTAATATTTATTATATCTTTATACTTTAATCTAATATTTAATAATATATCTACTATTTATCTTATAGATATTTATCTTAGAGATATATCTATCTTATAGATTTATCTTAGAGATATAACTATCTAGATATATCTAATATTTTTTATATATAACACGTATATCTGTTTATGTCATTTATATTTATAAGAATAAATTTGGATGATGGACAGGCAAATAGCACAATTGGACCAAATGCTTCAACGAACATCGAGTACTCCTGAAAATAATACTCGTTGTCTGGGGAAAACACGAAGAAGTATAACG